GCACAGACCTCCACAGACCTGCACAGACCCCCACAGACCAGCACAGACCTGCACAGACCTGCACAGACCCCCAGAGACCAGCACAGACCACACAGACCAGCACAGACCCCACAGACCTGCACAGACCTCCCATCAGCTCTTGGGCGCTCTGGGTCATCAGCTGACTGACAGTCTGGAGAGTTTCTCGCTCTCGACACATCATCAAGTTCAACAACAAAACACACTGAGCGCGCTCAGTCTACTGCATAGAAATGAGTCTGATGAATATGAACGTGACCTTCTGTCCTAATCACACACACACACACACACACACTGTGGTTTCATAGAGATGGGAACTTTAAACCAAACTGGAGTTCAGAGCCTCACAGACACACTGGGACCAGTTAAAACCAGTTTATTATGTTTTACTGTCCAGAAAGGAGCCAAGAAAACACCTGAGAGACTGTAAACAAACAAAGAGAGGAAAACAATGATGGAAGAAATGAAGGCATAATCAAAGATATAAAGAAGAAAGGAAGGAATAATAGGTGACCTTTCAAAGTTAAAGGAAGAAACAAAAGGAGGCATTAAAGGAAACAGGAAAAGGAAAGGAAGGATCACAGAGAATTACAAGGAATGAAGAAAATCAAGCTTTTATTGCTGTTTTTCATTTTACTGTCACGTGACTTCATGTCTTCTCATTCTGAGCTATGACATTTTTTCAGATCTTTCATTTGTGGTTTTCTGAATGAGCTCTGCCTCATCACACGCTATTCTGTAATCTAACTGGTTTAGTCAGTGTGAGTGTGAGTCTGACCTGAGCAGCAGAGTCCCTCCAGCAGCAGCAGCAGCGTCCAGCTCCAAGTCTTCTTCATGCTTTAGGTTAAATCCAGAACATCAGATGCACGCAGGTCTCAGCACTGCTCTTCTTCCTTTGCACCTTCTTCTTCTGAATCTGAAACCTGTGCAGCTCACATGCGCTGCTGAACTCTGCAAGTCTGACTTCAAATTGAGCCTGCACTCAGGGGCTGAGGGGGAGGAGCCTACAACGGGGGGCGGGCAGGGAGGAGAGAGGAGGTGGGAGGAGGGGAGTATGGGAGAGGATGGAAATCAGGAAACCAGACCAAGGAAATGAAGGAAGGGGTTCTGCTGGCTTTATTTTAGTAGAAGTCTGAATTGACTCGGGTGTGCAGGTGTGCTGCAGGCAGGTCCTCACCTGTACCTGCTGCTGAGGTGCAGACGGTACGTGTTTGAAGACAGCAGCTGATAAGGCGGCACTGACAGCGGTTTTTTGGTTCAGTCTAAACGCCCACTTCCTTCAGCTCAAACATCCTGCTGTGGTCTCACTCTGTCCAAACGAGCACTTTAACAGGACAGAGTACAGGTGGAGGTGGAGGTGGAGGTGGAGGGGGCAGTCAGCAAGTGTAAGAATTCAAAGAACTGAAATTTAAACAGAAAGTGGAACACAGGGTCAAAGGTCAGACACTCATGTAATAACAGGAGAAAGTGGGGCAAAGAAACAGAAAGGAGGAAGTAATCACAGGGTTAGACACGCAGCCAATAACAGAGCAGATCCAGGGCAGCGTGGCAGGTGTCTCAGTGAAGACGGACAAGCTGAGAGCTTCCAGCTTTGATCCCACAGGTGAGCTGATCAATCTACAGGTGAGTGTTACACTGTTATTGTGGCACCATCACGCCCGTGCTGCTGATTCTCGGACCTTCACCCAGCTCAGTGGACGGTGCTAATACAAAAAGAAGAAGTTAAACCAGGCGTCTCACACTCAAATGAGCGGGCTGGCACTGGAGGGCCACCTTAATGTTCAAGGAGTACAAAGTGTTTGTTTTTAACCCTGTAAGACCCAGGCCATCAAAAAATAACCAGAAAATTCTCATGTTTTGGAACTGAGATGTTTATAAACCCTTATAACAAAATCCACATTTTTTCTGCAGCATCATGTTGTGTATGATATATTTTTATTCTATATATTTTTTATCGCATCTGATACATTGGGCATTTATGGCTACTTTTTGTTAACAACAATGTTAATTTTAGACAAAAACAGTTTTGTCCATAACATTTTGAAATTATGGCACATGTTGATCATGATACAAAGGGTATTATAGGTTTAATTTCAAATATTATATAATAATAAAAACTGCAAATGTGAGTGCAAATCTTTTTTCCTCAGTCTTAATTAACTGAAGCTTTTGAGTGAACTAACAGTCAGACACATTAGTCCTCTGTTTCTGGACACACACATGACAGCACTTCTATCATTTAACACGATATTAATGGAGACACTTGTGTACACATTAGAGCTGTTGCACTCCACAACAAGTAAATCCTCCTAACAAAAAGGAACTTCCAGGACCAAACAGCATTTTACGTGAATCTATGGTCCGGAACTGGAGGTGACACGGGCCGGAAGAGGCCCCTGTGCAGGGAGTTTGACACGCCTGAGCTAAACCGTCGGAAACACTTATGACCTGTAGGTGGCGATGGCGGACCGAAGCAGCAGCACGCCGCAGAAAAAGAAGAAGCTGTGATGGCGCGGAGCAGCACGTAAACAGATGTGAACAGATGTTTTAGCGCATAGAAACAGGACAGCTGCTCCGACAGAGACCCGAGGAAGAGATGAGAGAGAGCGGAGTCAGAAGGCGCGACGGGACGGACTGAGGCTGCAGAGAGAGGCGCACTGACGGTTAGGGAGCTCCGCTAACACCGCTGCTAACAGCTAACACATGCTAACAGCGGTTAACAGCTACAACCCGCTGCTGGAGGTCCGCCTCACCAGGTGTCCAGGTGGGAACTGTCCCCGCACCGTGATTGGCCTCTGTCTCCATACACACAGAAAGACGTGACATGCACATAATGTGCTGTTTATCTTTTTCATTCAAACAGCTTTGGCTTTTTAATCCGGTTACTCGGGTTTACTTGAATCTCTCATGTGTGTCACCTGTGAGGTTCAAGGTTCTTTATTTGTCACATGCATAGTTATACAAGTATAACACACAGTGAAATGTAGCCTGACACGCTCCTCGACATGTGCAAAAATGGGGGGA